CTGACTTAAACCGACCAGGCTCTCCGACTGTTACACGCCACGTAGTGTTAAGCGAGATGGGAACTTGTGGCTACATCTGACTATGTCAGATGAGCTAAAAAGCAACACAACTACAAATTTGACAAATTAAAAGAAGAAGAGAAGAGCACCCAATTAATTAACGGGTTATATCTGAATTTGTGTTATTGCAGCACATGTTATTGCAATGTTCTGCTGTATCTGAAAGCTAAATCATTTTACTACATTTTCACATTTATTTGGGTTTGGATAGAACTTACTGTCTGATTTACACCAATGAAATATAACAGGCACCATATTAACATTACCTATTTGTACAACACCAGGAGTGCTTTGGTAGGTAAGTGAGCATTCAGCTGCTTCCTGAAAAAAATACATGAATTTAAATGTTCATGAAGTGACAAGAAACAATATTATATTACTATAAAAGGTATTTTATATTATGGATGGGACAATGTCTCAATGAAAATAAAAACCATTTGTTTTAAAGATTTATTTATACCATCAATATGAAGCCAACCTCCCACCCTAATGCATTACTATTTTTGGAGTTCTCTCATGTGTAATGTCTCGTTTAATATACATTATAGATAACGTTCACTAATCACAGATACTTGTCCTGTTATTGCTCCACATGCTTGTTCTCCTGAATATTATAATTAAACCCTACAAACCAAGTTTCGTCCTTCACATATAGCTATGAAAAATGCAAGACGGATGAGGTAACTAAAGTTTAAGTGTACTCACAATTTCCTCCCTGGTATAACCTTGTTTCTTTAACTTGCACACCTCTTTGTGTACCTCTAACACCTCCTTTGGCATCTTGTGATTAGAATCGTAGGGACACTGCACACAAGCCTGTGGACAAAAACACATTAATTATGACACGTTAATATAATATTCTTTCAACCATCGGAAGTTAAGTTCACCGAGTTCCATCGTTGAGCAGTTATCAGTTGGTATACTATTTATCCGTAGCGGTAAATATGGACAAATTTTTTCCTAAAATAATAACCATTCGGTTAAATAGCATTTAGGTATGAATAGAATTGCAATTTTGTGATTAGCCCTCGGTCTGGAATGCGCAAGATGAATAGGAAAAAGCGCAACTTCTTCACACCAGCACATGCAATGGCGTTGTCATGTCAGCTGCCAAAATTATAGATGTCGAAACTTGCTGTTGTTTTATGACAACAAGTGCGAATGCATAATTATAGAAATTTGTAGGAATATACTATTATTTATGCATATGTTACTATCTAGCTCCAAGAAATGGTATTGCTAGGGTTAGAATACCGACGTTATTGACGTTAGTCACACCGCCTGGTTGGGTTAGTTACGATCATAATATACCCTTAAATTCTAGGGTGCAGTATCCCTTTAATTTCGGATATCTTCTACGTGTCTTTCGATGTAATTTTACTACTGTACTGTATAAGCCGGTTATTAACCGTTATTAACCGGCTTCGGGAGCTATGAGATTGAACCCAGCATTTACAACTCGTACCGTTTTTTCTGAGAGTGACAGTCTTGTCCAGCCCAATTTACGTAGAACAGAATCCAAAACATTATCTGCCGTGGCAATGAATTTCCTAAGGGAGCAGACCTTTGCTTGCCTTTCCTGTAAGTTGTCCATGCCTACGACGCTAACGCCTAGCACTAGTGCAGGTATAGCGATAGGTTGTAGTACTGCCTACGGCTACTGCACTGGCACTAGCACTGTCACTGTGGCAGTGAGTCTAGGCAGTACAACTAGTCACTAGACACTACTACTACTAGTAGCACAGGCACTTGAAGCGTATCAACTGTAAACACACGGCGCCGCCATTGCGCGTACACTAACACATAATAATACTAGAGTGGCAAGTGCCTGTGACTAGTAGTAGTAGAGAAGTACTAATCTTATCACAGCGGTCTTTGATTACCACACAAACGATTCGATCAACTTGTCTCTCCGTCTTCGTACCTTTTATATTTAGTTATTATGTTATTTACGGTTTTTACGATGCTACGAGCTAAAACGGACATATAAATCGGATTCGTAGTTCGCCGCTAGATGGCACTAATTTACCCAAATGATCAAAAATCTATGGCGTGCTGTCTGGATCTGGTTGCACGTGCCATGCACCATGCAATGTGCACCCGACCACTGATCTCTATACTAACTAGTAACTTAGTATATAGTTAGAGATCAGTGACCCCGACCCCACCCCGAAAAGATACGAAAGCTCACACACGTCAGACCTACCAAGTCTCATGCATTTCGCGGGAGACTCACGCATAGATCAGGACCCATTCTCCCGCACTACCGCATGCCCCCGCATGCCCTAGGCATTCTCACGAATTCACGCAAAAGAAAAAAATCACCTTATGACTAAAATTTAATTTTGTCTTCTTTTCTTCGAATGCTAACAGAATATAATATGTACTGCAAATACATATTTTAAAGCCAAATATTCAGAAACTGGTCGTGTTTGACAATATTCTGAACATCCAGCATTANCTAGACTCGTTAGTGGAGTAGGCGAGGTACGGTCCGGCATATTAGATAGTACCAGGGTACGTTCCAGTATACCGGACCGTGCCCAGGGTACGTTCCGGCACTACCCTGGGGGACATAGACCCTCTCAGCATTAGTAAGGCATTGAGTCTTTATTTTCTTGCTGTCAATATCCAAGAAGGAATATTCCGACCGAATTTTGTGCGAATATTCCGACCGAATTTTGTGCGAATATTTCACCGAATTGTATGTACAAGTGAGTAATACAGCGTTAATGTTAAGGAATATACACGGCTAAAACTTTCTAACGTTCGAAAAGCGAAAATCGCCAAAATGTACATGTATTGTATGTACATGTTGTCAGGAGCTATTTGTCATTATTAGCTCCTGATGTTGTACATGTATAATATAGTATACGTGATTATGTGATGTGAATGTAATACATTGTTAGCCAAAAGTTTCCTTTTCACCTCCTACTATGTGAATCGGTCATAGAGACTGGGCAGGCTGATACATATGATGTGCATGTGTGTACATAATAAAAATTTTATAAACATGATGTACGCTTATATATGCACTTACATGTACTACTACTATTACTAGCTCCAAGCGGCCTTCATGTGCCCCACACCGTCATGTGTTACGAGCGTATTACTCTTACAAATCCACCTCGGGCTCTACAACGTGTTACTGTGTGTGTAACTGGCGCTGAGAGGGTCTATGTCCCCCATTAGGCCTACTAACCCGACCAGGCTGTGCGACTAACGTCAACTCAGTATAACTTGTACATAGTATACACTTAGTAGTAACTCTTTCTTCTATTATTTGCTTTATTAGTGTCAGTGAGTGTAGTTTTCTTCCACATGTATTATTTCTATTCCAGGAAAGAAAAGCAACGTCAAGGATCATCCTGACTATGTCCCGTCAATATTCCCTCACATGCCTCAGCCTCAGTCGGACTCACCGAGAAAGCGGAAATTGAGCAGATTCAACAGAGCCCTAAGCAGAAAGAAAATAGGTAATTGAGTACAAATTACTTATATACTAGCTCCAAGACATGGGCATATATCAAAAGATGTGTATATCGCCAATGATGTAACAGTGTTACAGTGTACATTGGGGCGGGAGACGGTGTACATGGAGGTGGGAGACGGTGTACATGGAGGTGGGAGACGGTGTACATGGAGGTGGGAGACGGTGTACATGGGGCGGGAGATGGTGTGTATATACACGGTGACTGGTGTGTGGGAGAAGGTAGGGAGGGGGAGGTGGGAGGATGTGGGTAGGAAGGTAGGAGGATTGGGGGAGGGAGGTGGGAGGATTGGGGGAGGGAGGTAGGAGGCAGGAGATGGGTACCCCCTTGTACCCCCCTCGTTAGTCTCATAGCCTGGTCGGGATATCGGTGTTGTACACTTACTACTGTCACATATAATTAGGATCTAAGTTACGATACCCTGAAGTAATTTTTACCCCTTTTTTTCATTGCTGCTCATCCTTTGCCAATGAAGCTACACCAATGGCAAAAAGAAATCTCCGTGAAGAGTATCGTGAGCCAGTAGCAGAGCAGGAGGTGGACGAGGATCAACCTGCAGAGTTGCCACCCAGACCTGCGAGTCCGCAATTGGAGGATAGAGATCTAGAGCTCGAGATTCCAGCTGGGCGGTCTTCAAGCTCCACTGGCGCAAAGTGAGAGAGAGATGCTCTACCGCGAAATGGATGCATTACGCCAAGAACGTACCCGTGCAATAGATCAAGTAAACGAACTTGAAGTTTTACTTTTGAACAGTAGCCTGTCTGTAGCTGGGGTCCAGGATAATGAAAAAAAATGCAAAATGCTCACAGGCATTGGTTGGTTTGTATTCGTGAAATTATTTGAGTTCCTCAGCTCATTTCTCGGCAGCAAAGCAACAACTAAGGCCAGCCTCCCCCCGCGCGAGCAACTTTTTATTACTTTAGTAAAGTTGAGACACGGCGTTTCCTTTGAACTTTTGGCAACAATAAGAGGAATCAAAAAAACTACAACAGTTGATTATTTCTGGAAGTGGATTGACTTACTTCATGCAAAAATAGGATTCCTTATCAAATTTCAGGACCGAGCAAGAATCTTCGAAATTATTCCACCTGTTTTTAAAAGCAAATTTCCGCGTCTTACTTGTATCATTGATTGCTTTGAGATTTTTATTGATGCACCGAGAAATCTGAAAGCCAGAGCGCAGAACTTGCAGCGTCATGTGGTGCAACTCTCCTTATTCCAGCATTTACTAAGGGAAAACGGCAACTCTCAGCTGCAGAGGTAGAGACATCCAGACAGATATCTTCAGTTAGAATTCACATTGAACGTGTTATAGGACTGTTGAAAAACCGGTACACAATCCTAAAAGGTCCACTGCCTATTCAAAGTGTTAAACGAATTAAAGATGAAATTAATAATAATGAACTTGTAAGCAGTGACAAGATTGTTAGAGTCTGTGGTGCACTGTTAAACCTCAGTGAAAGTATTGTTTACAGTGAGTAATGGTATTGTTCCTACACTACAGGCAGTGCTGTCATTAATTGGAAAAAAATTATCGATATATTGGTTGCAGCTGAGTTGCCGTTTCCCTGAGTTCCGTTTAGTAAAAGGTTAGTTTTGAAGTTAATTTCTGACGTTGTTGGTTTGCACATGCAACGGAACTATATCGATATTGGTTCATTGTGTATCGATGCGATGAGTACAACTAAATGCTATAAATTTATAAATAGTTTCTCCGTATCTAAAATGTATTTGTTATTGGTGTATAATGAATTCACTGCAATAAACATTTTTAACCACAGAAAAAAATCTTCATGTTAGTTTTGTAAGGCTGTTTAGTCTTTAACTTGTGTGTAGATATATAATTTAGCATAGTTCGAAACTAACGCAGCTAACGCTAGTCCGTTAGTCCGAGACTAGTAAATGCCCCATAGCCGTACGTATATTTTATACAATTGAATGTCGTTTGCAAAACGTACGCCGCCTCCTCGCATCCCGGTTATTCAGCCACCTCAACGCCCCTAAGCATTGCTTCGTGAAAGTTCGGTTTTTCCACGATAACTTTATGAATGAACGGCGTTTCGGTTATTATAGGTGACTTTCGGGGGCATCGCCTGGCCCTTATCTCTCATTATCTTTCCTAGCACGGCTAATGCCCGTCATGATGGAGCCGGCAATGTTTTCTAAATTAAGTCTTTACAACGCAGCTCAGTTACTATATGGTGTAGTAAGAGTACCAAATTTGTTGGGTCAAAATACGTCGACATACATTGCATCTATTAAACTGAAAATGTTTGCTTGTTTTTTGTTTTGTTTTTTATTGACATAATATCACATATTGACATAATATCACATATTGACATATCAGATGTTTTTGATTTTTTTGATAAATTTTGATTTTTTTTTTGAAAATGGAAAAAAGGTCGGCCCCTATTTGCTAGGCTGGGTCGGGTTCTCGGAAACACATCATTTTTTTAGGCCTTATGCGTATCATTTAATGTATATATAGTTTTCCGTAATCTTGCAATTGAGGGTTGTGCGGGTGCCAACGTTGAACTGTTATATGGTTTATTAAACTTTTTATTATCTGACGTTACTATACATTTCCGTCTACAGTGTATGCGTGCGTGCCTCACTAGCCCTATAGCTTCAACTCGTGACAATGGGGACTTGTCCGGGAATTGAACCCGGGACCTCTCGCACTTATTAGAGCATTGCGAGGATCAAGTAGCCAATGGAGGCTCCCAAAGCATGGTAACTGAGGTCCCAATGCCAGTCTTATATGGAAAGGTAGGAGGTGTTGAAGTGAAAGCACTGCGAGACACGGGCTGCAGCGGCATCATTGTCAGACAAAGTCTTGTGGCCAAAGAACAACTTACAGGGAAGAAGACGTTGTGTACATTGGTGGATGGATCCATTAAGGAGGTCCCAATGGCCAGGGTAAAGGTAGATAGCCCATATCTTACCGGGGAAGTAGAGGTCATGTGCATGGAGACACCGCTGTATGACTTGATAATAGGTAATGTCCCTGGAGCACAAGCCAAAGCAAAGGATAGGGCACTAACCCCTATAAGAGTGGCTTCTGAAATTGATGTGGAGATTGAGGTGGAAACGTTAAAGGCATATCAGAAAGAAGACAAGACGCTGGATAAGGCGAGGACGTGGACAGATGTGAGAACGAAGGGTGCCAGTAAGTCATGGCTGACGGAAAGGAAGGGTCTGCTCTATAGAATGTTTTAATCCCCAAAGGTGAATCAGGGGCAGGTAGTGAAACAGTTGGTGGTGCCACAACAACTGAGGAAGAAGGTACTAAAGATAGCTCACGAGTCAATAATGGGTGGACACTTGGGCATAGGAAAGACCAGGGATAGGATAGCAACAGAGTTCTATTGGCCAGATATGAGTGGTGATATCTCGCGTTTCTGCCGATCGTGTGATGCATGTCAGCGGACAGTGGCGAAAGGTAGAGTAACAAAAGTACCACTAGGAAAATTGCCGGTAATCGATGTACCCTTTCACCGAGTGGCTGTATAAGAGGTAGGTAAAAAGAAAAAAGGAAAAAAGGGGAAAATCGGGGTGACGCGAACCCGGAATCCAGGTGTAGCAGACGGATGTTGTACGGATGAGCCCACTGCGCCATCACGTTTATAAACCATGGATTCAGACGTAATATGTTGTGTGTACGTACGTGACCGCCATCTATTGATCAATAGAATTTTTTATGAATGTTTGACTTTTTAACTTTTTTTAATTTTTGTTTCAGCCAGAACCACCAGACGTGCTGATTCTGAAAATATTTTTAGTTTTCCTCTAGGCTGCGGAGTTCTCTAGTTATGCGCGAACGCACAAATTCGGCTGAACAACTTTATATATATATAGAAGAGTGCGTATTGCTCATAGGGTCTACGTCCCCCAGGTTACTGCCGGAACGTACCCTATGTACGGTCCGGTATACCGGAACGTACCCTGGTAACTATTTGATATGGTTAGGGTTAGAGTTAGGGTTAGGGTTAGGGTTAGGGTTAGGGAGTAGGCGTAGGCGACTAACTAGACTCGTTAGTGGAGTAGGCGAGGTACGGTGCGGCATATTAGATAGTATCAGGGTACGTTGCGGTATACCGGACCGTACACAGGGTACGTTTCATAGGGTCTATGTCCC